ACCGGTAATCTGGAGCAAGCTTTGCAAAGCAAGTTATATATTAGTGACAATCAAGCCGGCAGCGAGTTATGGGATGAAATCAAGATAGCTACGAGAGGTGGCTACAAAGATGGCTACAGAGGTAACTACGAGAGGTGGTTACGGAGGTGGACGTGGTGGACGAGGACGTAGCACAAACTCCTTCGAAAGAAGCCAAGGAAATGAAGGCTATCAAATATATGGTCATGGTCGAGGATCTAGGAGTCAAGGAAGAGGCGGACTTTAACAATGAGGCGATAAATCACAATTGCAATGTTATAATTATAACAAGCATGGCCATCTCGATTACGAATGTAGATTAACACCAAGGATAGAGGAAACAAATCATTTTGCGAAGCGAGAAGACAAAGAAGTCTGAATCAGCCATTTTCTTAACATATAGAGGAAATAGAAAGTGTAAGAAAAATATTTGGTATCTCGACACCGATGCCAGCAACCATATGTGTGGTTGTAAGGAGTTGTTTATAAATTTGGATGATACTATCCAAGGAGAAGTTACTTTTGGTGACTCATCAAAAATTCCGAGTTAAAGGAAAAGGTAAGCTTATGATTACCTTAAAAAATGGAGAAAAAAGGTATGTACATGATGTTTATTATGTACATGCTTTGAAAGCAATATCATCGACCTTAGCCGGCTCGTAGAAAAGGGGTATGATATACACTTAAAGGATCGATCTCTCATCATCAACGAAGTGGAGAATTAATTGCTAAAGTTGATATGACAAAGAATCATCTTTTCACACTTGATATTCATACAGAAGTGCTAAAGTGCATGAAGTCTATCATTAAAGATGAATCATGGTTATGGCATCTAAGGTTTGGTCATCTTGGATTTAACGGCTTGAAGTTATTATCGAGAGCAAATATGGTGAGTGGACTTCAGAAATTAATCAGCCAAATCAATTATGTGAAGCTTGCATTAAAGGAACACAACATAGACAAAGTTTTGAAGTTGGAAAATCATGGAGAGCTAGAAGGCCTTTGGAGATTGTTCACACGGATATAGTCGATCCATTTGATATACCATCACTTGGTGAAAATAGGTATTATCTTACTTTTATCGATGATTTCAGAAGAAAAAATTGGGTGTATATTCTTAAAGATAAATCAAAAGCCCTTGATAAATTCAAGGAGTTCAAAACAATGGTAGAAAAACAAAGTGGGCGGTATTTGAAGATACTTAGATCCGATAGAGGAGGCGAGTACACCTTCAAGTTGTTTGAAGGTTTTTGCAAAGAAAATGGAATCATTCATCGGCTAATAGCCTCATATACACCACAACAAAATGGCATTGCGGAAAGAAAGAATCGCACAATTCTTGATATGGCAAGGAGCATGGTGAAAGGAAAGCACTTACCGAGAAATTTTTGGGTTGAAGCCGTTCTATGTGCTCGTTTATTTACTTAATCAATGTCCAACAAAAAGTATAAAATTCAAAATGCCTAACTAAGCATGGAGCGATAGGAAGCTCAGCAGTTAGACATCTCGGGATTTTTGGATGCATTGCATATGCTCATATTCCCGACTAAAAAAGAAAGAAGTTAGATGATAAATGAGAGAAATGTATCTTTATTGGTTATGAGAAATGGAGTAAGGCATATAGATTGTACAATCCTTTGACCAAGAAGGTGATCATCTCACGAGATGTTGAGTTCGATGAAGCAGATCATCGGAGATGGAACAAAGAAGATAAAGAAGTTAAAGGACTATTTTTTAATGATGACAATGATGATGACTTCAACATACGAAATGAGCAAGGTGATGACCGGACTCCTCCATAAAGTCCAATTTCAACAACACCCGAATCGACACCATCAACATCGTCCGGAAGCGAGCAGTAGTAGCAACAATTCGGGGGAGCACCTAAAAACCTATGGAGTCTAAATTATATTTATGATTCCACGGAACCTATGCGAGCAACATTCGATTACTCTTTATTTTGTTTAACGGTGGAGTGTGATCCAATAATGTACGAAGAGGTTGCTAAAGAGGAGAAGTGAAAGAAGGCCATGAATGAAGAAATTGCCGCAATCAAAAGAAATGACATATGGGAATTTACTAATCTTCTAAAAGGACACAAGGCAATAGGAGTCAAGTGGGTGTACAAGACAAAGACTAATCCGAAGGAAAAGTAGAAAAATATAAGGCAAGATTAGTTATTAAAGGCTATAAACGGATACAAGGAATATACTATGAGGAAGTGTTTGCTACATTTGCAAGAATTGATACTATTAGACTTCTCACAAGCAATCGTAAGCATAAAAAAATGAAAGATTTATCGGATGGATGTGAAATCCGCATTCTTGAATGGGTTCCTAAAAGAAGAAGTTTATATCGAGCAACCACTAGGATATGTTAAAAAGTGACAGGAAGACAAAGTCTATCGACCGAAGAAAGCCTTATATGGATTAAAGCAAGCTCCACGAGCATGGACCACAAGAATATATGAGTATTTCTAGAAGAATGGTTTTGCAAAAAGTCCGTATGAGCATGCCTTATACACAAAGAAAAATCAAGATGGTGATATTATGATCTGTGTGCCTATATGTGGATGATATGATCTTCACAGTAAAATAATCCAGGTATGTTCAATGATTTTAAGAAAGGTATGACTAAAGAATTTGAAATGACGGATATTGGTGAAATGTCATACTTTCTTGGAATCGAGGTAAAACAAATGGAAGATGGAATATTTATGTCACGGAAGAAGTATGCGGAACAAATTCTAAACAAGTTCGGAATGAAGGATTGCAAGCCGTAGCTACACCACCGAAGCAAGTATGAAGTTGAGGATAGATTCGAACGGAGAGTCCGTAAATCCGATACTCGTTCAAGAGTCCGGTTGGAAGTTTGAGGTACTTGACTTTCATACGCCCAAATATTATGTACGCAATTGACCGGTATGTAGATATATAGAGAAGCCAAAGCAGGATCACTTCATTGCAACAAAGAGAATTTTGAGATATGTTAATGGAACAACGGATCATGGTTTATTTTATATATTTTCTCAATATTCAAAGTTAGTTGGTTACTCGGATAGTGATTATGGTGGAGACTTGAATGATCAAAAAAGTACTTCCGGATATGCATTTCATATTGAATCGGTAATATTTCATGGTCATCAAAGAAGCAACAAACAATTGCTCTCTCAACATGTGAAGCGAGTATATAGCCGCAACGAGCATGTACATGTCAAGCAATATGGTTAAAGAATACTTTGAACGAGTTATATCATGAATAAGAAAGTCCAACTACAATATACATTGATAATAAATCTACTATATCACTTGTGAAGAATCCGAGTGTCACATAGTCGAAGCAAACATATAGGCACAAAATATCATTTTATTCAGGAGCAAGTGAAGAACAAAGTGGTGGAGCTAATTCATTGCGGTAACGTAAGATCAACTTGCAGATATTTTTACAAAGCCTTTGAAGATCGAAGTATTTCACGGACTCAAAGGAAAGCTTAGCATGCAAAGTCGGGTTTGAGGAGGAGCGTTAGAAGTCAAACCCCTTGCAATGAAGCAACAAATCACAGCCACAAAAATGTACAAGGGAGGTGGTCAAAAATGGCTTCCAATAAAAGAAATCCGTGAGCTATACATGGGCCGGAACATGGCAACCGGACGTGAGCTTTACATGGGTTGGAATTGAAAGCAAAATTGGAGAGGAATTGTGGTCGGCGATTTAAATTAGGCGGTGAAGCTTTATATATATATATATATATATATAGGTCCCATATGCTTTAATGTATGTATGAGAAATAGAGAGAACACAAGAGAAAAAAAGAATAGAAACTTAGATAGCAAGCAGCTATCAAGAGGAAAAAATTAAGAGTGTTGTAACACCCATCTATTGAGAAAATATTTTGTGAGAGAAGAGATTTCTTTTGTAATTACTATATCATCAATATATTTCTATTTGAATTAAAGCACAACACGCTTCCAACAAAAAATTCATTGTGTGTGATCTATATTCTTTTGAACGAAAATCTTGCAGGTTTTAGGGAACAACCAACTATGGACAACATTAGAAGACAAGTGATTTGAATAGATCCTAGCGAGGTGTTGAAATGTCAAATCTCGGTTGGACATCTATGAATGGTTGGTTAACCAATACTTTATCCGGGCATTTCCATATACAGGACGAGCCACCTTGATTGTTACACCAAGTGAATCAACTGCCAGTGAAGCCTATATCATGAAGACCTAGTAGTTGTATACCACTACTACAATCAAACATAGAGTTAGCTCGTGATGATTCCCTTCAGCCTTTTTCGAAGGATCTACAATTGTATTGAAGTCACCACCAACCACCCATGGAGCTTGAATGTTGAGGCCATACAGATTATCCCATTGTTCTCTCCTCTTGAATCCGTTATAACTTCCATACATCGTAGAAAACATGAAGACCGAGCTCATGAGATTATCCGCGATCAAGACAGTGATGGATTAGGAACAAATCTCTTTAACCACAACTGAAAACTGATGTTTCTATAATAGCCATACATGCTTATCTATTGGGTTACCATGTGCAAAGCTTAGGAAATTTAAGTAGTTAGCAAAGTTTTAAAGTTTTTCACCTGTTTGTTTTGGTTCCAAAATAATAAGACAAGAGACATGATGTTGACGAAGTGGTTATTTCAGGTACCTCTTTTTATATGGGGCACACGTACTCCTTATATTCCAGATAAGACTATTCATAAGGTAAGGAGAAAAAGGGCTCTCCATTGTGTTGTCTTGCTGACCTAGTAACTCGTTTTCCACTCTGTTGCACCAATCTCTTTAACATTTTCTTCTTTTGTTTTTTTGGACAGTGATCGTCTTTGTTTTTCGAATGCCTCTACTTTCTCTTGATATTTCGAATATATCCAACTGTGATAGGCGATGTCCCCTTCAGAATTGGCCCATGGAGATAAGTCAGCTTCTGCCTATTGAAGCAATAATTCCTCATCTAGACTACCCTCTTGTGTATCCTACAAAACCTCAAAGAAATGGAAAATGCATGCTCCTGTAGCGTGTATGTCTTTAAGGAATGCTCTTCAACCTTTGGTCCATTTTGGTTCCCTTGGGAGACTCCAACCTTTAAGATTGTCCGGTATTTCATGCACAGTGAAGTTAATATTGGATGATGCAGAATCCTGTAGCTCACATGCTTTGTAATCAATACCCATTACTTTTTTACTATTTCTAATATCTAGTTCAAGCCCACTGTTGCTATGCAAGCTAGACCGCTTCTCGTTATTGTGACTTTCCTTCTGACATCTTCCCATATTAACTATACGTAGAGTTGAACTGTCTCTATCACCTGTAATACCATGCAAGGAGTCCGAAGCTGCATCTCTATTTATCAATGGCAAAAAAGTTACATCATGGACTAGAAGCCCCTTACACTTACGCGTAGCCATTGAATCAGGTTTAGCCTATGCTTGTGACTGCTGCTGAAGTAATTAGTGATCAACTGAAGCAACCATCTTCTTCTTCCCTTTATCTTTAGCAACTATCCACTGTTTGTTTTTAGATCCATGTTTTTTGTGATCATTCGAAGGGATCCTTGAATTCCCATCTGCCTGACTCAACAAACATGCTAGTCTTACATCTCCTCTAAAAGCAACTATTTCCACAACAACATCTAGTTGTTTTTTGGTCATAAGTAAGTAAATGTTTTAAAGAAATCGAGATTCATCCAAGGAGCTCTCTTTATCTTAGACATTGTGGCAAACACTTTCTTGTAGCTAACAACGAAACTCTGCTTTCTAACTAAAAAGACGTGCTTCCTGATCAACTTCTAGGGAACTTTCCTTCAAATCCTAAATCATATCTACCTCATTGTCAACACTCATATGTTTTGATTGTCCACTATTTTCCTTGAAAAAAAAAACCTTTTATCATTTCTCAAATCATCACTTGGTGCATCAAAGCAATCGCGTAAAGGATGAAAGCTCTAAAACCTCCAACTGCTTCTCAATAATGTCAATACAACTCTAATAAGTTTCTAAAAGCATTAAGTGATTGGAAACAAATTTTTAAAGCTTTAGTCTAAATGAATCCACCTCAAAATTCTTTTTATTCATGATTTATTGCCTTATGGAGATCCAAAGGTGCCTCGAACGCAGAGTCAAATAGTGAAATCTGAAACCTAATTGCAATAGCTAGGATCAGCAAGTTCCCGAATAGCCAAATCCATTAAATACAGTTCCATGTAATAATCAGTCAAATGTAATATGGGTAACAAAGCTTCAACCATTCCAAATTTTCACACCATGACTCATTTTTAAGAGACATTATTGTTTTTTGTTTTTTGTTTTTGTTTTTTGTTTTTTTGTTTTTTGTGTACTAGCTCTCTAAATTTATAGTTGCTACTTCAAAAATATGATCCACATGAAGTGCCAAAACAACCATTGCTTCTTCTACTTCAAAATTCATTTGAACTACCTAATAAAATAATAGAAATATGAATCATTATTGAAGAAGGTATCAAAATCTTAGTCAATTTGAAAACAATAGCAAACAAATAATAAAAAATGTTTTTAGATTTATTTATTGTCTTAAAAAAGAACAAAATCTGTAGAAGAAAATGATCAAACAGATTATATGCAATGTCAAACTGAAACTTTTATAGATTTTAATGACAAAGAAAAAGGATAAAATAAAACTCAACGCTCTATTTGATGTGAACTCGCCTAGCTTCTTGGTTAGAGAACCCCGAAAAAGAAGATATGAATTGGAGGAAAGCTAAATTGGTCTATAAGAAATGGTTTTAGATGCCACACTTTAGAAAAAAGAAGGATGGGAAAGATAAGAATATGTGAATCCCACAAGAATGTTGAATTCTTGATAACTTTAGGATAGTTCTCGAAAGAACCTAGAAGATAATTTTCTCATAAAAATTTTTACAATAGTATTTTTTTTATTATTATTAAGGTTTGATTGATCAACCATAAATTATAAAGTTTCTACCTATAGTTGACTACTAGAAATCGAGTTATTCAAGATTTGAATGGCTAGTATTGGATTAAGCAAAAAAATTAACAAATATTAACTTAAGTCTCCTCTATTTTTTAAATACAACTTAGAAAGCTGCAACCATTATTTTGGTCTAAGAATTGAAGCATCCATCCATAAAGTGGCAAATTTATCTTGGTCAACAAGCAACAACTCACTCAAACACAACGATAGCTTGTTTTGACCTAAACAACAATCAAATTAGTCTTGGCCCAAAAAACACGAACCCACATACCAAACAACAACTCGACCCATGGCCTAAAATATTTGGGTCTTCAAATCCGATTACTCGGATAGTTAGTTTGACGTAATAGCTTGGATGATGTTCACTAAACCCAGCTTATAACATCTTTGACCTAAAGAAGGCTGAGAGTGTTATGACAATGCCATACACTTGTTAAAAGCAAGACAAAGCCATATGACCTCTATCTCGTGTATAAAATATAATGCAAAATGGAATTATTTTAGTTTAAAGTTCAATGCAATCTCATTTTAACATAATTAAAACTAACATAAGTTTCACAAACATAAATCCATTTCATAATTTCAAAACATATATATACATTAACATATTAAAATTATCCAAATGTAATAGAAGTTTACAAATAAAAAATGACCAAACATATAAAATATAAGCTTTGTTTAGCCTTTAAACTTTAAAACTAAACATATAATACACACTTTAGTAAACTTAGCTTGCTTATGGCAACATCATCAACATCACAACATGCCTTCACACACCATTTAGCTTATCTACATATCATAAGATAAACTATAAACCGAGGCTTAGTTAGTGTAATCATGCATGAATATAAAATGAAAAAAAAAACATGGTTTTTATGTCAAAATTCATTTTCCTCTTACGGACACACCTCGCTAAATGTCCGATTCAACCCTCATTTACAATCATCCTTTATGAAAACCATAAAAGCACTAAATATAATCCATCCTTTTTTCATAAAGAGTATACACCAAATCATTCCCTTTGTGATTGCCTTCTTTGAACATACCAACGGTATATACGGATCATTCCATTAGTGTGCCCTCTTTGAGTATACAAAGAGTATACACCTAATCATTCCTTTTACATGTCCTCTTTGAAAGTGTCTAGCCATGACCTTTGTAAAGAGTATTCACTGAGACCATTCTCTTTACAAGCCATTTTTGGAAACATGTACATGATCTTTCTTTAAATGCTTGAAATCATGATAAAACATTTTCATGGTATGGATGCAATTAGCGTGTAAATCCTTAAGTAAACACATGAATATAAATCAAGTGACATTAAGCAAACTCATGAACCTAAAATCAACTTATGAACAAAAAACCATATAACATGAAGTAAACACATGAACCAAAACCATAAGTGATATAACAAGAATCCAATCTTTAAATAATCACATAATAAAGTAACCTCAAGTAATTACATAGCCCAAAACCATCTAGTGATCCTAATAATTATTTTGTGATCAAGTAACCTCATGACTACAATAACCCTAGGACTTCCATACTTATGGTGAATGGTAATTACTCATACTAGTCATCAAGTACACACACCAATACTTAAAAGTACAAACATCATATCATCATACGTATTTAATTATCAAGTAAACACATCAAATAAACATCCGAACATAATATCAAGCAAACACATCTTCATAAGTGATCAATCATCAAGTAAACACATTAACACAAATTCTTATAACCTCTATGTCTTATAGTGAGTTGGGATTACACTTACCTAACGGTTTGATTACTTTTGAAAACACCATAAGAGCTCTCAAAGATTTACTTTTCTCCATATTTTCACTCTCGATCAAGCTGCCTAAATTTTCTTCCTCTCGGCTAAACTCTCTCTCTCTCTCTCTCTCTCTCTCTCTCTCTCTCTGTAACCCCCGTAAAAACTCTTACCCGTAACGCGACATGTATTAGAATAATTCTATATATATGTATATTAAGAGTACGTATAATTCTCATTTCATCATGAGAAATTAATGCTTGAAATATGTGATTTATGTTAAATTAAAGTTATTGTGCTTAAGATTAATGGCTTAATTATTAAAGAAATCAAATATGCAAAATCAATGTTTTAAGGACTATATTCTGCTCGAGTTTTGTGTGAATTATTTGAGCACTTTAGGGTGATTTTTGGGTAAACCTTAAAGAATGAAAGTTGTTCATATATGTGTTGCATATACTTGTATAAAATTGTATAATTTTTGGACCTATACATTAAGCGTTATATCCATTATGGTGAGGGTTGTTCCGAAATGCATTCTGTTAGAATTTCGAGAAGAATCTACCCGAATCGTGTGAGATTTATTTGATGATATTAGATTGATTTTTGAGAAACACTTAAAGAATAAAAGTTGTTTGTATATTTGTTTACTAGCTCTCTATAAAATTTCATAATTTTTGGATATATATATATATATATATATATATATATATATATATATATATATATATATATATATATATATATATATATATATATATATATATATATGTGTGTATTTATTTATTTATTTATGCACATTTTAGTATAGATGGGTTAGGAGGTAACACTCGTTGGAATTTTGAAAAAAAGAAATTCTGAATTTTAAAAATGAAAATTTTTGAATTTTTTATGAAAGAAAGTAGGTTTATTTACTTGAATTAAGTTAATTAATGAGTTTAATTAGTCTAAATTTTATATAAACACCTAAGCAAATGCAATAAATGAATTTAATGCCAACTCACCCATTATGGTCTCAAAGCGACCACCTTTCCTCATGACTCACTCATAACTTTTACACCTTGTCCCATTAATTTCTAACACTTGTAGTGAAGAAAAGTAAGTAAGTATATATATATATATATATATATATAGCAAGTGTTAAAATGGGAGAAAAATTTTAGCAACCCGTAGGTATCAAAAATTAGGAGAGAAAAGGCAAGAAAGAAAAGAAAGGAAGAAAAACGTGAGGAGAGAAAGGAAAGGAAAGAAAAAGAGAAAGGGAAAAAGAAAAGGAAAAGAGCTAAGAAAATTCTAATCAAACCTAAAAGATAAGTAGGTTCCATTTTTTTTTTTTTTGGTTGATTAATGTCTTAAATTATTTTTTTAAGTTATTTTGTTAGTGTTTATTTCATGGGTTGCAATAATTTTCAATGGTTATATACTTGATGTTTGGGATGAATCTATGTATGGATGTCTTGTTGTGATGATTTATGATATTATGATATTTTGAAAAATGTCTAAGTATGTGGTGATGGGTTGGATTGGACTTGGACTAAATTTAAGTGAACTAAAACATGTTTAAAGTTGGCTTGGAATGAACTAATAAATTAGTGCTGATAAGGAGTAAATTCTATCCAAATTTTAGGGTGCATTTTCAAGGATTTTAGTCGATTTTTGGGTGAA